CACACACACGCGCGCGCGCGCGCGCGCGCGCGCGCGCGCGCGTGATTTAATTATTTGTTAATTCTGCATATATAGTACATAGGTAGAAGCCTAAACTTGTCGTTGTGGGTGCGCATACATACACAATGTATATTTTTTCTAAAAAAACATTTCTAGTGGATTATGCTTCATAACAATATAAATAATAATTATAAAAAAAAACATGTGTTTTTTTTAACTTGCTGGCATATTAGTGGCATTTTTGTTTTCTCCATAACACAAGCGATATTGTAAAATGTATTTGTTATTATTATTATTTTTATTATTATTTGTTTATCATTCAAAAGGAAACAAAAATATTACTTGTAATAGAAAGCTAAAAAACATTCACCCCAATGTTCCGAAAAAGTAAATAAATGAAGGTTGTGTTTGTATGTATTGTATGCATGTAAAATATAATGCTATTTGGAAAGGAATAACAAAAACAAAAACAAGACAAAATATGTATATATGCCCACCTTGTTCAATTATCCTATCGGAATATTGGCAATTTCCATTGGTTCAAAGATTTGGTTTGGTTTGGTTGATGCACAATTGATCTGGATTTGAATGGGCTACTTGCATAAACGAAGAACAGTTCTTTGTGTTAATTTTTGAAAATCTACTTTTTGTTTAAATCCTTTTTTTCGATATTTTCCGCTTTGTTTCCGTTTATTTGACCATTTGACTTTCTTAAGTGTTTCATATGAATTTACATTATATAGCGTCTTTGTTGGGGTTCCAAAAACACACACACACACTCTCATACACATATATATATGTACGTGCAGAATATTTACGTACTCATAGCAGCGTTAACTTTGTATGTATTTATTCCCCCAGCTAGCATTTGTTTATCTTTTGTTCTCTGTGTTGTATTTATTTTCTGTTATTTTTGAGCTTTGTGTCTGTTCTTTTTTTTTGCTTTTTGTTTATGTGGTAGTGTGTGTGCCTGTTTTTTAATAAAAATTGTCTGTATCGTGATGGTTTAATCACATTAGTACACACGAAATGATAGATTTCTTTGTTGTATTTTGTTTCCGTTTGTTTTTTCTTTTTATTTATATTTACACCCGTCTGAACGAACCACTTACTCGCGAGTAGCTACACAAATGAATGTGGTGAATTGCCAAATAGTACAACTCAGATGAGAGCTGACTGAATTGACAGTGGTGAATTGTAACAAGTGGAGCCCATGTACAAGCCCCACAACCACCACACACCACTCTGTTTTTTTTTATTATTGTGTGTATATGAAAATATTGCTGTAATCGTTTCTTGTGCACATATTTTTTCTTTATAGAAAATTTCAAAACGTCCATACAAACGAAATTCACAAATTTATCGAAAAGCCTTTCAATACAACAATTATCATAATTTTAATAAAAAAAGGTGGAGAAAAAACAAAAACACACAAACAATGTATCCACCGCCGCACCCGTTCACGTACTTGTCTAAAGCTGCTACTAAAACCGATCAAACAAAACACAAACCTCAAACATGTATACATACATATACGAAGAAGGAAAAAAACAATACATGCACACATGTATGTATCCACATTCACACTTATACATCAACCAACCAACCAACCGACCATTGCCATTCAGACAGCCATCAGTGTGACCGACCGACCAACCGAACAACTCGACGTCTGTCTTTTTGTCATTTGTTTAGTAATACATTAAGATTACACACAGCCAAACGATAATAAACAATATGCATGGTTTGTATGTACGTAGTACACTTCCTCCTTTGTGCCATTGTATACATATGTACATATACATATATACTATATCATTTATTTTTTTGGGGGGCCTTTAAACTTAAAATTCAATGTTACTTCATAAAGAATTGATTTTTCCACCAAGCACACACACACGTATATATTGTTTTTTTCATACATCTTTACATATATATATATATATATATATTATGCATACATATATTTATGGGTTGTATATGTACACAGAGATGAAGAAAAACTACGTTTTTTCCGATTTAACTTATGTACATTTTTTTCTTTCTTCTTTTTTTTACATAATTTATATACGCTTAAAGATTTTGCATATTGTGTATTCAACGAACGAACCATTCATTCATTGGGGCAGTTATTAAAGCTGATGATTTCATTTCGATTCACACAAACGAGTTATATTATCACGAATTGCACCAACTGTCAGCCATTAACTTTGTTTAGTTATTCGTGTATTCTTGTACATGGATTATTGCATTTTTATGGTGTTAATAAATGCTTGTGAATAAAAAGAAAACAAGTGAAACACAGATTTTACCTTCTAACAGCTCTCTTGTCCAAAACGGCAAACGCCATTGTGAATGCACACAACTCGCAGCGTTGTATTCTTCGGAAACCGGATACAGTTAAAGGTGTAATGAAAAGAAAACTAGAAATACTAATTGGAATTTTCAATGATTCTGTTTCTGATGGCTATGTTCATGATCCAATAATAAGGTCGTCCGATAAGGCCAGATGATTTCACCCGAGCTGTCAATTTTGACTTAATTGTTTGAAAACGTAAACAAAAAATTGACAGCTTGGGGGATTTTAATCTAAAATTGTCGATAACGATTGCTTCTGACACGACCTGTTTATTGGATCATGGCTATGTTATTGTCAATGGGAAGTTAGAATACCGTGAACTCCTTTTTTTATTTTGATACAATTTGTGAGACTAATAAAATGGATTCCTTTAGTCTTTGGATATATGTTTTTCCTATAATAACTAAATTTGTACGGAAGATAATGGTATTGCTCAGCAAATGTTGAGCGTAATGTCGAAATTCCATCAATAAGGATTGTACCAAAGATTATTTGACACTTAACAATGTTAGCTATATTCCGACGAGGCGTACAAAAATATTCAACACCCCAGTACTATATTTGGTACAATATGGGTAAACTGATAGAACTCGAACACTGAAATTTGGAATGTGGGATTGGAGTATGGATGTAGTTTTGGAAATTCATACTTTTGGGTACTAAATTTGGTACATTTGAATTTTGGAAGAACCGATAGAAAAGGAATCCTGAACTTTGAAGTTAGGGTTACTGTTGGGTTGTAGGATTAGGTGATAGAATTTGGAAAAATATTCGATGAAATAAAATATATTCTCTAAAGCTGAACATTGTTCTCATTATTTAACCATGGCTCTTATATGTTATATCTTTAATTTTTAGAGACAGGGCACTTCAAAATATTTGTAAATATAAATTATTTAGCAATCCACTGAATATATGATATGCATGTTTATACTTGAATTAAAATTCTTAGATAAAACTAATTAAAGCATTACTAGATAAAATTTGACAAATGGTAAATGCATAAGTAAAATGCATCACACGAGACTACCAAAATGTAAAGATATTAATATATATATTTTATTTTCCTTCAATAAAACTGATATCTGTTGGCCTGTTCCCGTACTGCAAGAATCTACTATTTCTTACTACGATAACGAATTTTCCTTTATGATATCGAAGAAAATAGTAAAATATAGTAGATTCTTGTAGTACGGGAACAGACCATGAAACATGGCTAAATGGCTAACATAATGTTACCAACAGCTGATTCAATACGGATACCTTATTAATATAACTCGATTAAATCGCATCGATAACACTTGTAGGCATATCGAGCATATCGATGTCTACTTTGTCTACGGCAGCATCTATGTAAGTCTTTTTTTCTAATATTATCTATTTTCCCCATAGTAATCGTATATAAAATTCCTATAAACGACATATTTAATAAAGTAACTAATTTTGTTTTAGAATTTTCAATCGGCCAACTTGGTTAGAGAACTTTGCAACAGATTTCTGAAACCCCCAATGAAAAAGAGCAACCAAAGTCAGTGGTGAATTCTTTACTGAGTCATTATTTTTACATATTGTCTACACAGACGACTGAATTGGACAGTCAGTCCTCTAATTGTCAAATATGTCGTCTTCGGCCATTTATGTGTTGGACGTGAAGGGTAAGGTGCTGATATCGCGGAACTACCGTGGCGATAATATGGACATGGCGGTAATCGACAAGTTTATGCCACTGCTGATGGAAAAAGAGGAAGAGGGCATGATCACACCTATATTGCAAACTGCAGACTGCACCTTTGCGTACATCAAGACCAATAACTTGTATATCGTATCGACGACCCCACGCAATAAGAATGTGAACATTGCTCTGGTATTTGTATTTCTGCATAAGATTGCCCAGGTGTTCATTGAGTATTTCAAGGAGCTGGAGGAGGAGTCGATTCGAGACAATTTCGTCATTATCTACGAGCTGTTGGATGAACTCATTGATTTTGGTTATCCACAGACAACTGACTCGAAAATATTGCAGGAATATATTACGCAGGAGGGCCACAAACTGGAAATACAACCACGCATACCTGTAGCAGTGACAAATGCTGTCTCATGGCGTTCGGAAGGTATCAAATACCGGAAAAACGAAGTATTTTTAGATGTCATCGAGTCCGTTAATCTTTTGGCCAACGCCAATGGAAATGTTTTACGCAGCGAAATTGTCGGCGCCATTAAAATGAGAGTTTATCTGTCCGGAATGCCAGAACTCAGATTAGGCCTCAATGACAAAGTTCTATTCGAAAGCACAGGCAGAGGGAAATCGAAGTCGGTAGAACTGGAAGATGTGAAATTTCATCAATGCGTACGTCTGTCTCGCTTTGAAAACGATAGAACGATTTCTTTCATCCCACCCGATGGAGAATTTGAATTGATGTCGTATAGACTCAATACACACGTATGTAGTGATTGCACATGTAATGACATTTCTATTTTTGTAAACTTAATACTAATTGCAGGTCAAGCCACTGATTTGGATTGAATCCGTTATTGAGCGACACGAACATTCTCGCGTCGAGTACATGATCAAGGCCAAGTCCCAGTTTAAACGTCGTTCCACGGCTAACAATGTGGAAATCATTATTCCAGTACCAGCCGATGCCGATTCGCCAAAATTCAAGACCACAATTGGCAGCTGCAAATATGCTCCGGAACAAAATGCAGTTATTTGGACTATCAAATCATTCCCAGGCGGCAAAGAGTATTTAATGCGGGCCCACTTCGGCTTGCCAAGCGTCAAAAGTGAAGACAGTTTGGAGGGTAAGCCGCCAATACAGGTCCACTTCGAAATACCGTATTTCACCACATCGGGTATTCAAGTTCGTTACTTAAAAATTATAGAAAAGAGTGGCTATCAAGCATTGCCATGGGTCCGATACATAACCCAAAACGGAGACTACCAGTTACGCACTAACTAATCACTTTAGTATTGTCCTGAATTCTACATACATTAAGATTTTGTTTGTGTCCAAAATTTGTTTCATTCCGAAATTTATATATGTAGGTCAATTACTACAAGAACACTTCTCCGATGGGAATGCTCCATGGAGGAGTGTTGCCTTTAGAAGGTATAACTTGTAGAAAATGATCAGTATATATGAGGATTTTATAGCTATATTCCATTTTGATGTGTTGTTGTCTTTTTATTTCAAGTAGATCGAGTGTCAGGGCTCATTGAATTACTTAAGATTTGTTAAAATGTATTTTCATTCAAAATTAATGTAATTAATGTAAGTTTTCTGTCCGTCTAATCAATAAATTATACAAACCTACATACATATACATTTAAAAATATTGAAATATCACGGTATTTATTTCCTCATTAACATATACGAGGACGCACACCCATTCAAATATTATGCTTCAGCGTTCACATCCGCTTACTGGAAAAACTTTTGCAAATTGAAATGTCGTCCATATACATGTAATCTGAAGCATTGATTGCTGGTGTTGTAGCAGCCCTACTCCTTAGGTTACACCGAGTCAAATTATGTGACTTAAGATCTCTGTCACCATTACTGCCTTCATTGTTAAATTGGCTATGAACTCGTTTTGCATTTATTGCATTTATTCTTCATTCATGCGCAATTCGCTCCATTTCCTGCGCGATTCTCTACCGTATGCCGTGCGTGAATGCAACTCATTTCATATTAATGACCTTACAAGGCAATAACACAACACATTTGCAATTCTATTCTTCTATTATTTTCTGCGAATACACTTTATTTTGGAATTTCTAAACATTTATTCCTTGTATACTAAATATAAAAGTTTAGTTCCAGCTAATCAAAAATGTTGTATATATTGTGTAAATAAATGCAAGTTCCGAATCACAATTTTCTTACGTTATACACACACACGTTTGTCCTACTTAAACTAATAAATGCACATTATAAGATTCCCATTTGGCTAACGGTTCGGTATGTTGTGGTGGCGTTTCCTTAGGCTTGGAAGTTTTTGAGTGGGTAGTGGTCGGGGTGGTCTTTTACATGTTTTTCCAGCTCTTCCAATTGTTCTTTCAAATGTTGGGGCATTTCATCGTAGACACCTTCGAACATCTCCCTCCAGTTTGGTTTAAGCTTTTTCTCCGAAACGGAGATTTGTTTAAGAACTTGTTTTCGTACGTCCTTAACAAAGGCACTTTCTTCTTCCTCGTTGAACCAACCTTTCTTTATCATGTAATTCTTGAGCTTAGATATTGGGTGTTCTGTTGTATTCCAAATTTCAATCTCCTCTGCAGAGCGGTATGCCGTGGAATCATCAGAAGTGGAGTGGTGACCAACACTGTGTAAAAAGGCGAATAGATCGGATTACAATTATCTTGGACTAAAACCATCGTTTCTTACCGATAGGCCATTGCTTCAAAAACAACTGGTTTATTTTCGCGAAGAACATATTCCCTAGCCTTCTTCATGGCATTGTAGACGGCAAATACATCAGTACCATCAACACTAAAAGCAAATGAAAACATTAGAACAACATAGAAGAAAGCTAAATCAGCGTTTGTTATACCGAATGGTAGCGATTCCATAGGCGGGTCCCCTTGCAGCAATGCCATCACCACCGTATTGTTCATATGATGGAGTTGAAATGGCAAATCCATTGTTACGGCTACAGGAAACACATTTTATTAATTAATACTATTTAAAATATGTATGGAAAAAATATGTGCATACCAAAACAGAATGACGGGGCAATTAAGAGTTGCTGCGAAATTGAATGCAGCATGAGCATCACCTTCGGATGCGGCGCCTTCGCCGAAGTAGCAGACCACAACGGAGTCATTATTTGGCCGACGTTTCATTGCATAGGCCGCTCCTACGGCTTGTGGCATTTGGGTGGCTAAAAGTATGACAAAGTTTTACATTTTTAATTACTCGTCCGTCTTAGAACAGCTATAAAACCTTACAAAGTGGACTGGAGATGGTAACGAAGTTCAAATCCTTTGATCCATAATGGACCGGCATTTGTTTGCCTCTTCCAATGTCGGCTGCATTACCGTAGCACTGGTCAATGAATTGTTCGATTTTGAAGCCTCTCCAAACTAAAACGCCAGCCTCACGATATTGCCCATAGATCCAATCTCTGTTCTCCAAGGCGGCGGCACTTCCAATATGACTTGCTTCTTCACCAAAATTGGTCATATAGAACGAGATACGACCTTGCCTTTGGGATTCGTATAAGATCTTATCCATAGTATTCAAAAGAACCATGTCTCGGAACATTTTCGTTACATAGTCACGATCTAAATTGGGATCTTGGCTAGGATTGACTACTCCTTCGGCATCCATTACCCTGTAAATGGGTATTGGTGAGTAGTCCGAGGGTAAAGTAAAATTAGGTTCAGCTACAAATGGAGCCTTGGCCCCGGGAAACATCGAAGGGTGATCGGCTGAAACGTTGGCGACACATCTTTTGGCATTAAAGATCGGGACAATACTCTGCAAAACAGATAGGGTAAACGATATAGGAAATGTTCCCGTCTCCTGTATTGTACTTACCCTAGGGACTTTAGCAGCCACGTTGGAGCATTTTAAGATCTTGTGTATTTGTCGAAGGGCGGACATTTTGGCGAAACAAGAAACTTAAATATACTAAAATCTAAAACAAAACACGACAGAGAATTAAAAGGCAATTACATAATAACACAAGATCGATCGAGCCAACAGCTGTTGTTATGCTGCCAAACAGATATTCTTCATCGTTGGGATCGATAACGCAGACACTTTCGATAACAAAAAAAGCCTTTGTTTGTTGGAGCCGTTAACTCTCCCTCATTTGAGACAGTCTTCATACTAAAGTACTTGGTTAGTCTGCTTTTCCACAGGCGGATTTTTATTTGGCAAATTTTTTGTTTTCTCTTTTGAAATTTTCGCTTGCTTTTCCATTAGCAAATTTTTCATTGCCAAATTTGCGAATCAAAAGAAAATAAAAGTCAAAAGTGTTTGCATTTTAAAGTTTTTTTTATATTTTATTTATTTTATATATATTTTATTATATAAATTGCAAAAATTAAAAATTAAATTTCACTTGCACAAATTAAAGCAACAGGTTTGTAAACAAAACCGGCTGTGTGTCAGTAAAGCGAATATGTTCAAAAGGAAATGTCAACAAAATTGTTTTCAACGAACAGAGCAAAGCAGAATTTGCGTGTACGGCAAATTCTGAACAGGCAAATTTTTGTTTTTCTTCCTCGCACCCCTCTCGCCTACAAACTCAGTATTTGCCAAATAAAAATTTGCCTGTGGAAAAGCAGACTTAGCAAGAATACTACCAAAATCCTCCAGTACCGCATAGCTACCAACTTACTCAAGGTGACTTAGTCTATCAAATCAAAATGAATATTTTGTGTATGGATGTGTCTTGTTTTGAATACCATTTCAAATAAATTCAAATTTCATTGAAAAGAAAATAATTTTTTTACCGCGGTTGCCTAGAAATTATTATTTTGTTATGGATTAAACAAACACTTCGTGGTATTCCCTACTCGATTTTGAGAGGAAATCATAACCTTTCATTAATTTTTCGTGTTTTTAGTTAGGTGTTGAAAACATTTTAAATAAACACAGGAACCTGTGGCGTATATTTATTGTATATTTGACAGAAGAGACCAGTACCTACATAGCGGGGTTTTACATTTATCGGGATTGGGATTGGTGTTGAGAGTTTCTCTCTCTCATTGGTAAATTGTGAATTGAGTTGGAAAACATTACCACTGGTATGAACAAAAAAGTACGAAAATGTGCCTAAAATTTTACTTCAAATTATAATAAATCATAATTATCGAGAGATATTGGCCAATACTTATACCAGTTATTTGCATAAATAATATATGTTATAATTTAAGCGTGAATGTATTCACGAATAATAAAATAATCTACTTTTTGTTGGTACGTTTATGTCAATTCGTACCTTTTGTGAACAAAAAGTACGCTTGTTACAAAATTAAAAATTGTGCAATTCTAATTACTCTCAATTTGCCAATGAGAGAGAAAAAACTCTCAACATCAATCCCAATCCCGATAAGTGCCCTACCTTGTATCATTGCACCTCGCGTTGTTCCTTGGAATTACAATGCCGTCATTTTCAAAATCTTCGGCGTCACGAAATGAGAAACAAAACAAACTGATAGGTTGTAGGAACCTCTACAACGATGTTTACGAATAAGAGTGGAAATAGAGATATGGCCAATAAAAAAGGAACTCAAAACCAAAGGCCGACACTGACGGGCTGTCAATCTAGCCACATTAGCATTGTTCCAGTATATCAAAATCCCTCTAGACATGTGCTAGTTGATATGGAGAGTCCAATGGATTTACAGCAGTTTTGGAACGCAATATCCATTTTGATTAGAAATTATCACACCATAAATAGAAAACTATGTGCCTGCGTTATAAGTGAAGTGAAAATAAGAGAAGCTCTGTCATCAGATGAGACAGAATCCGACGTTGCAGTCAATACAGATACACTCTTTAAGTACCTGCAAAACATCCCCAAAGTTCCCAATAACTGTAGGGGGTTTCTCATTTACTTCAAATGTCTTCCCAAAAAGAACGAGAATAGTATACGTGCCACTGGAATTGTGGGTAAGCTCGTGATCCGACAAGTATATGCCCACTCATCAATATGTTTATTTCGTTAGATTTTCCAAAATCCTCCTTTCATTTATCATTCGAGTCCGATGCTGTCGATGATTTTCAAATAAAATTCTGCAAAGGTCAACTTAATGTTGAGAACTTAAATCCACTTGGTGATACAGAGAACGGTACACGATGGTCCGAATATATTTTGAAGCCGAAGTTAATAAAATGGTCAAGTGCGTGTACGGATAACGTGAATGTCGGCGGCTCATTACGTTTGGTAGATATTGAAAAATACAATAGCCTCTATAATGAATTCAAGAAGAAGTACGGCGAAAGAGCCATGACGGTAAGTCAATATTATTAGCAGTCAATTGACCTGTGTCGTTTGAAGATTTTTTGTTTGCTAATTTCAGCTTTGGAATGAAGCCAAGGAATCGACAGATCCGCTAAAATTTATTTATGAAGATTTAGCTATAGCTGCATACTTGATAGCTTTGTGGCAAAGTGATACATTGAGTCATTCTCCAACGGCATTTGCCGACTTGGGTTGTGGCAATGGTCTTCTAGTATACATTTTAAACGAAGAAGGATACGCAGGTTACGGCTACGATGTTAGATCTCGTAAAATTTGGTCATTCTACCCTCCAAATGTTGTAAACAATTTAAAAGAAGAAACAATAGATCCGAGTACGTTTCGTCTGCCACCAGACGTCGATTGGATTATAGGCAACCACTCAGATGAGTTATCACCATGGATACCTGTATTGGCAGGCAGAAGTAGTTACCGAATGAATTTTTTTCTTCTACCCTGCTGTGCTTTCGAATTCTCTGGAAGAAAATTTCAACGAAGGAATTCAGCTCTATCGACCTATAACGACTTCTGTTGCTATGCCGAGTACATATCCAACCATTGTGGTTTTGAGACTGAAAGAGATCGCTTGAAAATTCCAAGCACAAAACGCATTGCATTTATAGGCCGAAGACGCAACTATTCATCAACTAATCATTCAAATAAGGTGGAAGAAATCAAGCAAATTGTGGAAAATGAAAAACAACTTTATCCGAATACCGATAACTCTGAAATCAAACTGCGAGAGAAGGTAGAAACAGTACGAAATTGTACACAAATCGACAAAACTGTAATAGATAATATTGTCTTGAAGATATTCCTGCTACTTCTAAACCAACCAAATGTTTCGCAGAATCCAACCAATACCGAATGGCTGGTTGGTCGTTCATTGACAATGCCCGAAATTGCTATTGGATTACAGAAAGAAGACCTGAAGCAGATAAAATCGGAATGCGGTGGACTGAAAACTCTACTACGTAACAAGCACGAAATATTTGAGCTTTCTAAGCCGGATGTAGTAAAAATTCGCAAGCCGCAAGCGCTCAAGAATGTCCCTAACAACGTGCAAACAGTGAAGAAACGAGCCTGTTTCTTTTATACGAATCACCCCCAGGGCTGTCCATTATCGAACGAGGCTTGTAGTTTTATACACTGACAACAGCTTTTCCACTCAAATTATTATTTCTTTATTGAACGAAGAATATAGATTTTACATTAAAATAACATCATACTACATAGTTATAAGAAGTATGAAGAAGTTGTTAATATGTTGTTTTTGTTTTGTTTGTTGTTAGCCTGTAGTTGTTCTGTCCAATGTCCAATCTTTTATATGTGGACTCTTAAAGGAGTAATTATCAATTTACTTAGCGAGAGCTATCTGAGCTACTGCTGCGTCTGCGTCTACGTATTGGGGACCGAGAACGTCTGCGCGGAGGCGAACGACGACCACCACGCGGAGGTGGAGAACGTCTATTTCTGTTGAATCGATTAAACCTTGGCGACGCACGCCAACGGTCATTCTGCCTACGGTTGACTGGGGAGGGGCGTCTCTGTGGACCTCTGATTTTGGGTGTTAAAACAGCCGATACGTTTACCTCTTGTCCATCAATTTGACCACCGTCCATTTGCTTAATTGCTGCTTCACATTCCTCGTGAGTTGCGTACTCTACATAAGCAATGCCTCTACCAAAGTTAGGATGGTAACGGTCTGTAGGAAATTCCACATTTTTCACTTCACCAAAGCAACTGAATATCTCAATCACGTGATCCTTCGTTACATTTCTCGTTAATCGTCCAATGTGTATACGTGTTGGTTTGGGAGTTGGAGAACGCTCCCTGGCCTTGGCAGGTGGACTTCTGGAACGGCTGCGGGTACGATCACGGGGTTTGGTTACAGGACTGCGAGAACGTTCACGACGTTTCGGCGGTGGAGAACGGGACCTAGTACGTTCTCGTGGCTTCTGAAGAGGGCTGCGTGATCTCGAACGTGTGCGTTCCCTTGCCGGCTTGGCAGCGGGGCTTCGTGAGCGGTCCCGGCGTTTTGGAGGCGGGCTTCGGGACCTTTCGCGTCTCTTTGGTGGTGGACTGCGACTACGTGAGTGGGAAGAGGCGCTTTTGCGCGACGAAGAGGATGAAGACGAAGACGACGATCCACTAGAACTTGATGAACTGGAACGTGATTCGGAACCAGAGCTACTCCGCGACGAACTGCTGTCCGATGAACTACTCAAAAAAGGAAATAAATAATAAGTTATCTTATTCAGAAGTGTGTGTGCGTGTGTTCGTCTAACCTGTCACTCGAATCACTGCTAGACGATGCACTTCCACGCCTCCTACGATCCCTTTCTCTTCCCCGGTTGGAGTTTGACGACGAACTGACTTTGTTGTTCACTGCCTTAACATCTTTACCCTCCTTGCCGTCCTTGTTCTTTTCCACAGTTTCCCCATTCGGAGAAAGATCTCGCGCCCTGAAATGCATTGAATGTACATTAATAAAATAAATCGTTACACAATTAAACTGTTTCTTACATTTTGTGAGAAGTTGTTTTACCAAATACTTAATTGTTTTTTTAATTCAGAGTGTATTTTATCCGACGTATTAAATATTGAATTAAATGGGCCAAAATGGATGAATATGTGCGAAAGAAAAATATATCGGCGATGAAAAAACGCGACGCGTCCCTTATAGGGATAAGTAAATCGACTTTCGACTAGAGTTGGGTAGTTCCGGAATGAACTAGTTCATTGGAACTATTCCGAGAAAGGAAACAATCGGAACTAGTTCCAACTCTTTAATTAATATAGTTCCTTTTTCTGATCCAGTTCCTTTTCTGAACTATTTGAAGCAAGAAACTATATGGAGCAAAGGAACTATAAAGAGCAAATGAACTGCATTGAGTTAAGGAACAATATGGAGCAAAGGAACTATTTGAAGCAAAGGAACTATAAAGAGCAAAGGAATATATCAGCGATGAAAAAACGCGTCCCTTACACTAGGGATAAGTAAATCGACTTTTGACTTATCGATTAATGGACTTTCTGTATTAAAAAGTCGAAGTTGACTTTTCCAGATCGACTTTCGATTTTCTTCATTAATACTTTGTTTATTGCATAATGAATAATTTAATAACTTTTTTCGTCTGATCACAACAACTCATATAAAAAATAAAATTTTTAATCGATTTTGCATTTGTCGGTAAACGGCGAAAACGGATTTTATTTTATTTTTTATTTTACATTGCCCAGTCTTTCGACCTTAGGGCTGTAAGCTACATTTCACAATTAAATATAAATTTTATCATATTAAGCGTCTTAAATGTAAAAAAGAGGGATATTGGAATACTAAAGAATATTATACCGATCAAATTACAAAAAAAGGTTTTGATTATTACTCATGGTATAATAATAGAAGGTAACAGCAAGTGTTGTTGTACAAAAAACGATACAACAACCACATGGAAATTTGTTGTTGTAAGTTCTACTAGTGTCAACTCATTTGACAGAAAAATGTAAACAAACAAACAAATTATCATCAAATTATTTTTATTTTGAAAATAAAATATTTTCGAATCCTCAAAATAAAAATTGAAAAACTTGAATGAAAATCTATCAAATTTTTATTTCTATCGCTTCCACATCTTTCCTATAATTGAGCCATTGCCATATATATGTGTAACACATATGAAAAGGCTGGGAATAGCGAGTTATTCCTTGAAGAAAGATTTGCTTCCTCAAACTTTCCCAGCAGGCAGATTGAGTAAATGGAATACGGGAGTACATTTAATAAAGAACAATTACAAATTGTATGCGTTCCCAATTTTCCTGTTGGGTGATTTTTATAAACATAATTTGTCATACCATGAGTAATAATCATGGTACAATTATAAAAGGTAACAGCAAATCCCAGCTGATTTGATTCCAACGTAATACTAGTGTCAATATGAATATGACAAATTATGTTTTTAAAAATCACCCAAGAGGAAAATTGGGAACGAAATTGTTCTTTATTAAATGTGCTCCCGTATTAAATTTACTCAATCTGCCTACTGGGAAAGTTTGAGGAAGCAAATCTTTCTTCATGGAATAACTCGCAATTCCCTGCATTTTCATAGGTGTTACACATATAAGTGACAATGGCTTAATTATAGGAAAGACGTGGAAGCGATAGAAATATAAATTAGATAGATTTTCATTCATGTTTTTCAAATTTTATTTTTAGGATTCGAAAATATTTCATTTTCAAAATAAAATAATTTGTTGATAATTTGTTTGTTTGTTTACATTTTTCTGTCAAAAGACGTTGACACTAATATAACTTACAACAACAAATTTCCATGTGGTTGTTGTATTGTTTGTTGTACAACAACACTTGCTGTTACCTTCTATTATTATACCATGATTATTACTATAGGTTATGATTAAAAAATTTGATTAATTGGATTATGACTACTCCAGTAGGAATGGAATGGTTGTTAATCCACACCAAAAGAAATTATTATATATAAAAATGAGTTGTATTTTTATCTAAATAAATTGTATCACAAATATAAAAAAATAAACATACATACATATGCCATGTTCGGGAATTCGAACAACGTAGTTCGCTCTCAGAATTACGTACATGAATTAACCCGTTCATACAACACTATTCTTAATTCATGTCATCAGAGTTTTTTATTTCAAACTTTTTGTTTCTTGTTTTACACCAAAATTCTAACATATTTGCATGAATCACATATGGATCTAAATAGAAAAATTAATTCTCTTTCTCCTGACTATAGTATGGACCCATATCTATATACTTTTAATTCATCATTTCCATTTTTTCTGAAAATATTGTTGTTTTCATCCATTTTTATATTTTCTAAATTCAAATGTCACAGATAAAAATTTGGAGAATTTTTTGTTTGAGTTTCCCCAAATTTGTTTCTTGTTTTGTACGCTAATTAGAACCAAAAGGAAAGAAATTCATATTGCATTATGTAGATAACAAAATGTACATCCTGCTGCATATATAAAAACTAGACAATTTTTTACTTTTCATTCATCATTTTCAATTTTACTAAAAAAGTTTGAAAATTTTATAAATATTTTCAAGCTGTCAATATTAATTTATTTTCGATAAATGCTCTCAATTGTTAGGGATGGGACAAATTTCTTGGTTATTCAGAGAGTGATTCGAATTGAACTACGTACAAAAATCGGTGTTCGCTCAGAACATTTTGTATGGGGAACTAAGTAATTACTTCATAATTAAGGGTCGAACAACGAATGAGAGAGCAGAGTTTTTTACAAACTTTTTGTTTTTTGTTTTACTGTAACATATTTTAGTGAATTACATGTACATGGCAATACATACCACAAGGAAACATTTTTATATTTTCTCAATTCAAATGATAACACAAACGCTTATCAAAATTTACATCCTGTTATATAAAAACCTTTTTTACTTTTCATTCATGCGGTTGAAAATTTCATAAATATTTTCAAACTGTATTTTCGATAACATATAACGAGAGTGATTCTAAGGATTTTGGCTCATAATTAAGGGTCGCGAGCATTCTGCTTATCCCTTTAAAAATTAGAAGATTTTTGCAGTACGAGAAGAAGCCAATTATAAAACATTATAATAAAGATGTTAAATATGTTTGGGGTATTTTTATTTACCTGTTCACACATAAAGTGGATTATATTTGACGTATACGGTAGTATATTCCATAGCTTATGCGTGAACAGGTTTTTGGGGACGTATAAGCTATGGAATTGGCATTTAAAAATGTGTGGATTTAGCAGTCTAAACGTTATTTTATAAATCGTTTTGTTTTTGCAAAATACATTTGACATATCACATATACTAAAAATCTGCATTGTGGGAAAACTTACGTTTTGTGTACGAATATGAAAGAACATAAAAAATATCGGCGTCCGTATGTTAAGAACCCTTGTGTAAAGAAGGCTTTATTTAAATTACAGGGTGACATATAATCGTCACATTTAGTAGTTTGTTCCGGAACGACAGAGCTATCGCTACTCCATCACTTCATAGTTGGATCCATTTTATATCTTAGTTATATTATCGTTTTTTATTCAATTATACCGTATATTTTGCTCTTGGAAACAATTTAGAATATTATAGGCAACTAAAAATAATAGTGTTAAGTAATGGAGGTGATTGATATAGCCCGACTGGAAGAGGCTGTAGTCGTGTTTTATCGTTCTACATCTCAGGAGCAGGCACATTTGCATGAATGGCTAACAAATGTTCAGACCAGCAAAATGGCCTGGCAGTTTTCGTGGCAGCTGATGCAGCTGGGAAAGGTACGTCGACCAGTTTCCACGCTTTCTATATATGTATATCCTGTTATTGATAAATGTTTCGTTTTAGAGTCAAGAGGTGCAATTTTTCGGAGCCATAACGTTGCACTCAAAACTAATGAAATTCTGGCATGAAGTTCCTCCCGAAAGTCGAGATGAGCTGAAGCAAAAGATTTTGGAAACAATTATACAATTCGCCGGTGGGCCAAAATTAGTACTCAATCGTTTGTGCATAGCGGTATTGTAACAATGATATTACATTTTTCCAATCGGTTTAGTAATTTGTTGTTGGTTTTAGTTAAGCGCCTATATTGTTCATATGTTGAGCGAATGGCCAAGTGCCATAGAGGACGTTATTAACACCTTTCAAAATCAGCAGATACCAAATGTATCGAATGAAACCCAATTGTGGATTTTATTGGAAGTACTGCAGGCAATACCGGAGGAGGTTAGTAATCTAATTCTATTAAAAAATACACGATGTTTATTTGTACCATTTGACTTTCTTCAGATGCAAGCAATATACAGTTCTGTAAAGAGGCCGGTGCTACGGGCCGAGGTAGCCAAGAGGACACCGCTTGTAATAGAAACCACTGAACGTTATCTACAAATGCAATTGGAAAGAGAATGGGACACAGAGTCTTTTAATAACATGACCAGAGCTGTGAAATGCGTTGGGACATGGGTTAAGTATGACTTATGTGGCCATCGACAAGCACTGCTGCTATTTTCATTAAAAACTTCCGTTTCAGAAATATTGGCTTCCCCATCGAAAACTGCGTCAATATGGTTGATATTATCCTTAAAATAGTAAATAAGTGCTATTGGCCATGTACACAGGATCCAGATGGTGACGGCTGTATGTCTGCAGACGAAAACGATTTGGCTGAAACTTGCTTAAAGACCCTCGTCAATATTATTATTCAACCGGATTGTCATGTCTACCCAAAGACAGCATTTATTCTCATTAAAATGTTTTTGGACTCGCTATGCAATATTACTAAGATGGAATGGAAGCCGGATAATAATAATGAGGACATAGTCTCCTACATATACACCTTGTTTGTGTCGGCCGTTGAAAGGCATTCTCAGCTTCTGCTGAGTGGTATTACAACCACAGATCCCGAGCTCTCGTCCTTATATACGCGGCTAGTGCATGAGATCCTGCAGTGCACAGACAAGCCGGGCATATATCCTGTAGAGGAATCGTGTAGCAGTATGGCCCTGGGCTTTTGGTATCTTTTACAAGACGAAGTGTTTGCAATGACGAATGCAGAGGAACGTCTTAAATGTTGGGAGTATATTAAACCCCTTTATGCCCACTTAACGCGCATTTTAGTAAGGAAATCCGAGCAGCCTGACGAGAATTCAATAGATAAATGGAGTTCAGACGATTTGGAAAGTTTTCGGTGCTATCGACAGGATATTTCGGACACATTTGTACGTATTTCGATTGTAGACTTTGAAACGTTAATATTTAATGGGTTTGAGTATTTTGTTGTTGTTTCCAGATGTATTGTTACGATGTCTTGCACGATCAGATTTTGGACATTTTGGCGGCTGTTTTGGACGAGACTATTGCTCAACTGCAGACAAATCCGAACCAGTGGACAAAATTGGAAGCATGTATCTATTCTTTCCAGTCAGTAGCCGAGCATTTCGACGGAGAAGAAACAAAACAGATTCCTAAATTCATGCGTGTGCTTAACGAAATCCCCTATGAGACTATGAACGAGAAACTACTCGGCACCGCTTTAGAAGCTGTAGGTTCCTATTGCCAGTGGTTACGTGGAAATCCAATGTGGATACCGTCTGCCATAGAACTTTTAGTACGTGGCCTAAATTCGTCCATGTCTGCACAGGCTACGTTGGGGCTCAAAGAGCTCTGTCGCGACTGTCAGTTGCAAATGAAACCCTACGCTGAGCCTTTGCTTAATGCATGCCAGTCGTCTTTGGCCTCGGGACAAATGAAGAATTCCGACAGTGTCAGGTTGATGTTCAGCATTGGGAAACTTATGAGTCTATTAACACCAGACAAAATTCCCAATTATTTGGATATGATTGTTAGTCCCTGCTTCGAAGAATTGTCTACCATATGCCAAAGTGGAGCTGTAAGGCGTATTTCCTTATCGTTGTGTTCACCTAATATATGATTATTAATTTATTATAGAAAACGCCACAAGCAAGAATTCGTACAATATTCCGTCTTAACATGGTGTCAACTCTGTTTTCGTCACTTAACACAGATATCGATGACGACGATCTGCCTATTGAAGATCTGCAAAATATGCAGCCAGTTTTAATTGTAATGCAAAAAACAATGCCAATTTTTAGGCAAATAGCTGAATTATGGGTAGAAGAATTGGATGTTCTGGAGGTAATGTATATTGGTTTTATATCCTAAATTGTAATGAAAAACAATTCTAGATTAATACACTACTGTTCAAATATCAATTATGTTTTAGACGGCTTGTGCGGCTCTCAAGCATGCTATTGTCAATTTAAAGAATAGCTTCAAACCAATGCTGCAAGATCTTTGTTACTTTATCGTCGCGATTTTCCAAACACGTTGTTGTGCACCGACATTGGAAATTTCCAAAACGGTAATTAAATAATCGCATACATACATTTTATATATGAAATAATGTATTATCTCTCTTCTATAGGCCATTGTCATATTCTATAGAGATGAAGATTGCAAAGCCCTGATGCAACAACTGATGATAGAATTCGTAATGCACAGTTTTAAATTGTTTGAGGTAATTTGTTGACACTGTAAACCAACCATTTATATATGTATGCATGGTATGCTATAACGATTCTATTGCAGGCCACACCCGAAAATGGATTCTCTAATATTGCCGAAACGATCGAGACTTTTTATGCTTGTCTAATGCAAATCATTAAGAAGATTCCACAATCTCTGGATGATAAATCGATTGCATATGATCGTCTTATATTTTATGCGCTCAAAGCAATGACGTTACCAGAAAATGGTCCTATAAGATTTTCAATACAATTTCTATCGCACTTCGTAATGCAGTCCCGCAACTATCCACAAATGACCCAAGCTGTACTTGCAGCCGGTGAGGAGATCTTACGCACCGCTACAGTTTGTGTAGCGTGTGTTACTCCTAGACAACAAGTAGAAAAGTTTGCGGACATTTTCCTGAGTATCAATAAGAAGTATCCAGCAGAAATGGCAGTTTGGTTGAAAAATATTATGCATGCCCCAAATTTCCCGACGCCTTTGGTCGATGATGCCGACAAAACTAAGTTTGTTACTCAAGTCATAAGGTAGGCAAACAAAACATTCCATATAGTTGATGTGTGTGTGATTACATGTTTCTATGATTGCAGGGAAAAAGTGAATAAAAGACTGTTGCATCAACATCTTACGGAATTTGCTATTAAAGCCAGAGGTCTTAGCGATAAATTTCAATAAAAGGGTTGTCATAATACGCTTGAAATGTGGATACCAACAATATTTTCATGATGTGTTTATTTAATTATTGTTGTCATTAGTGTAATTTTCGTATATATATGTACATAGAATTGACGAATATGTTTACATTACAGACAACGGTAAATCTTCAATGTTTAAAGGCACAGCGTTAAATAAACTTGTTGTATGACAGTTTTGCATCTTAGCATAAATTAGAATGTCCCTTCTGTTAAAACTGCTGCTTCAATCAGGGCGAAATTTCCTACAAATCCATATTTTCCTCTTGAGTAGCTACTCCACCCCAAAGGTATATAATACTTTTTCATTTTTTGATCATTCATCTATAGGAAAGTAGAGTGCAGATAATTAAGCATATGTAAACACAATTCGCTGTCATATTCATTTGTATTTTATTAGTAATTATATTGTGAAATTTTGGCTACTAAGTGACATGCTCATTTCTTTATAGATTTAAGAAATGTAAAAATTAATATTGAGTGCATGACGGAAATTTTAATCTATCTTTTTAATAATGTGATATGTATTTATGTGTACGTATAATATGAATATTAAATAAAACAATGCAAGATATTAATAATGACATATTTTAATTTAATACACTCAAATAAAATATTCTGTGTCAAACATTAGTTTTTATTATACTGAAATATACTAAAATTATTATGTATTAAATAGAATTGTTTGTAATAACAATATTTAATAATAATTGTTCTAATTAGTAACAGTGTAAGTAACAAATGAATATAGTTCATAAATGTTTAAGGTAAACCAAGCCAACTGTCGTTAAAACGTTTAAGTTCAAGCTATTTCCGTTCCTAGCAACAAATCAATAAATTTTGATTAAAATTTTTAATATATTGAGATTCTTATACGGAGCTTAAATCCCAGCAAGGTTAGGCCGATATGTTTTTAATAAAATAATTTTGTTTCTTCGGAACTTGAGGCACAAACACTTTACTTTTTATAGTACCATTTCTTTAGAATGAATCACCACCAAATTTTACACACTCGTTGTCAAAGTGTTGACCATTCGACATTTATCGCTTCGGATAATAGTACATTTCCGGATTAGAATATATTTAAAAAATATCAGCCTTATTCTGTGCTATGATTACACAAGCGAAAAAAATGTTCGCTTTCGCTTGCTCGCCTTATTCTGCATCCTTGTTCATACAGAATAAGGCGAGTCAGCAAAAAACGGAAGCTGCGGTTTCGAGTTTTCGAAAATTTGTTTAATAAAAAGATTTGTGTTGCCATATTGTAATTGAAGTTATGATGTGTGTAGCACCATTGTAATATAATTTTATAATTGGTCTGTTTCCTTTTCTTTGTGATATCGAAGAAAATAAGAAGATCTAGTAGATTCTTGCAGTACGGGAACAGAACAAATATTTTAATTATTAATTTTTCTAACAAACATTTTTTTAGTGTTTTTAAACTTTTTATCTATAGAATTGAGTTTACGAGATATTTTGCAAAATCATACTGGATGATGTCTATTTACTTTTCTCAGTATTATACAGAAGAAAATAGGAACGGCTTTCTCTCTGAAATGGAACTTAATGACTAAATGTTACTGGAAAAGTAACCAGACACAGCTACTATGGAGACATAAAAACATAGACATTTTTGACACTCAACTTGAGAAATAACAGCTGTTTTCCTTTCGGCTTAGGCGACCTTATTAAAAGACCTTGGCAACAATCGATTAATCGATTCTTCTACTAATGTTTTCGATTTTTGATTGCGTACAGGGACTGGCTATGTGTGTGCGGTTTGTTTATATTTATCAATATTATAGTGATAGACAACATAATTAAGAACTATTTTATTAATTTATTAAAAATACCTAACGGGAAAAAGTAAGTAAATGAATACACATATGACCGCTTTTCCAGTAACATTAACTCAGTAACCCATTTTCAGAAAGTAATCCAATCATTCTCGCAATGGATATTGACACCGGGAAGATCTGCCGATGTTGTCTAAGCTTAAATTCCAATCCCCTTCTATCCATGTACAAATCGGATGGTGCTGGCGGTTGTGTTGCAAACATGATAGCTTCTATAACCAACTTAAAGGTGAGTTCAATATTTATGTCCACACACCCAACTACTTAGATTGTCACTTTTGCATAGCTTCTACCGCACGACAAGATGCCAGAAAATGTCTGCTTGTCCTGTATTAGTGAAATTAATCGCTGTTATGTTTTTAAAATCAAATGTGAAAATTCCAATAAAACTTTGAGACAATTGCTCCCTGATGTGGCTATGGATGAGAAGTCGGTAAGGGATATTGATATTCAAACCGATGAAATATGTGTGAGGACTACTCAGAGTCAAACACAGTATGTCGCCAGTACTGTAACGAAGGAAGTCCAAACTGAAGTGTGTATCTCCAACGAAGAAACAAATGATGATGATATTGTACAAGAATTCTCATCGTGTGATGACAGCGTCATTAAAGTGTGTAAAAATATCATGAAACGACGAAATTCATCCAAATCGAACCGTTTGGAACAACATTACTCTTTGGTTTCAAGCGAAAACAGTGAAAATGGCGAATCGTATATTGTTGTTGAAACAGAGAGTATTAATAATGAGTCCTATGGATCGGAAGACAAGATGTTTGTGGTCCAAGATAAGCTTGATCTAAATATCAATGAGATGGTTGAAAAAAATGACGACACCTGCTTTGAGTATTACGAAGACATGGATCAGGATACACCACACTATATAGAAACAAAGTCTTACGACAACGATGAAAATGAATGCATAGATCATGATAACGATAATAATGATATAGAAGATGCCGATGCAACCAAAATCGACAACGACAATTTAAATGAACAGTACCCTGCTGAGCAAAGTGAATTGTGCTCGAAGAGATTGCGCTCTTCTGGAAAGCGAAAAGAGCAATACAAATGCTCCATGTGCATAATGACATTTGTAAGTTTGAAGGTGTTGAGAAGGCATATTGCAAATCGGCATTCTGGTGTTGGGATAGATGATGTTGTCGCCAACACATCCAGCGTTGTAGACCTACCAGAAAACGATGAAAATGCATGTGATTCAGATGCAGCTAAAGACGTCCAGGAAGAATTAACAGAAGAAAATGTTCCCAATCCACGTTTGTTGACCAGATCTCGACATTCAACCAAGGTGGATGAACAAAAATACTCCAGCTTCAAATTTTACTGTGAATATTGTCAAGCTGGATTCGCCCAAAGGAAGACATTAACATATCACATGAAGCAAAATTGTATGACAAGTAATTTTAAGGTATGTTCAGTAATGCTTAAAATGTGGAACGCAGTTGATGTATTGTATTGCTTTATTTTAGTGCAATCAATGCGATCGTATATTTATATCAAAGGAAAAATTAGATGAGCATAGTCTAACTCACAAGACTCATCCGTGTTTGGAATGCAAACAAGTGTGTGATAGTGTTGAGGAATTGAGTGAACATATGATTGAGGTACACAATCGGAATGCTCGAAATCAATGTCATGTCTGTAAGAAAGGTAAGTCCACCAATGTGATATTTCTAAATGTATCAACTTTTGGTAAACCTAGTCATTCAATATCATTAGGATGTATTTGAATGAGTCCAAATAATGAATTTTATTGGAGTTTTTTTTTCATTCATTGTAACCATTTTGCATTGATATGCCACAATGTTACAGTTATACGAACATTGAGATCGGAAGTGTGTTGATATATATTTACTTTCAGTATTTACGATGAAAGCATCTCTTATTGACCACTTACGCGTACACAGTGGCGATAAACCTTTTCTATGCACCATTTGCGGTAAACGTTTTACCCAAAATTCTAACTTGCGTCAGCACATCATGCGCCATCAGAACAAAAAAGATTATAAGTGTGATATGTGTCCCAATGCCTACGTCACTAAAGCCGAACTGTTTTCACACAAACGAACTCACACTGGAGAAACACCTTTTAAGTGTAATTTTTGTAATGCCAGTTTTACTTCTTCGTCTTCCCTGCAAAAACATGTACGAAAACACACCGGAGAGCGTCCATATTCATGCGACATTTGCCCCATGAGATTTACTGCTCTAAATATTCTCAAAAATCACCATAGAACGCATACAGGAGAACGTCCGTACAAATGTCTGTTTTGTGAAAAAAGTTTTACGCAAAAAGGAGATTGCTTATTACATCAACGAACACATGAATATGGCGAAATTAAATGTTTTTGTGGTTCAAAATTCTCCAAAATAACCAATTTAAGAATACATTTGAGAGTGAAGCATCCGAATATGAGCGACGAAGAGATTGCGACAATTAATAATTTATTGAAAACTAAGTATTCCAAAGAAGAAGGAGAAGACGATGGAACAAATATAACGTTGATGGAAGAATGTGAAGATGACGAAGAAGACCTGACATTGGAATCGTCACATACAGTTACTAGCAATGCTATTATGTAATTTATATACAACATTTTAAAAATAAAGTAATTGCTAAGCTGAAAGTTGTTTTTTGTTTTTCGTTGATATCTCTCCTTCCTTGCAAGTAAAACTGAATCTCTCCTAGATATATAAAGTATTTGCCTTTTTATTTCATTCTTTTATTTTTGTTGATAATTCATTGAAATTATTTCAAAATTAATCGAAAAATTAAATTTATGTTATATAAACCATATTATTATTTTTATATATAAAAGAATAACATAGTAATTGGGAGGCATTATATCTGTATTGCAGTTTGTGAAAAGGGTATTTTGGAATCACTCATTTTTTTGGTATAAAATTACATATAGAAATCTAAATTGATGATTTTTATATGTAAACCATGCTACCCATTTCATATTCTGTATATCTCACCCCACATTTTATTCATATGAAATGTGTTAAGATATTTGTTGTATATTTTAGTATATTTGAGATATAAATATTATTGTATTGTATAAAAATATATAGACTAACATATATACATTTTTTAAATATATAAATTGTATAAATAGATTAATCCAACAACTTCAAATCCCTAGCAATTTTTTTCAACTTATTATCTAATGTTTTGTCTTCGTGCTCACAAATATAACTCTGCCTCGTTGTGCACTCCTGTCCGTGATAGTTATATGCGTGCTTTGCACTGTTATAGGCCAATCTTAGACATCTACCTTGTCCGGGAATCTCAAGTGTATTGTTCAAAATTGACTCAGTTTTGTTGTCGTTTCCTTCTTGATCCTTCTCGCCGTCAACGTCAATGGTATTCGATTCTGTTTCGCTGTCCTTTGTGGCGGAGCCTTCTTTGTGTGACATCGCTATGGATGTCAAATTCATATTTGGATTAACTGGCTTCGCAGAATTTGACCAAATCCAAATTAAACCGGGATTGAGACCACCCAACCAATAGTCGCGGCCGCGATGGTTGGGTTGATTCAATAAGTAAGCCATTATTTCTTCGTTTTCGGAAACCTTTTCGAATTCAGCCAAATGTGCGTTTAATGCTTTGCATGCTGAGTTTGCAGTTTTCCAATTCACTTGCTGGAAACTATTAATGTAGTAACAATTGTCACTGATTCGGGTGAAATTTGTTGGGCAAGGATCCCGAACTAAGAAAAAACAAAATATGAGAATATGCACAATTGAGATTTTAATTCAGCTCTTGTTTTACCTTCTTGTTGTTTGTTCCCGGCCATGAGATAATATATTAATTGTTCAGTTCTTCGTACTCTGCTCTCCAAATAGTCCACACGATATACTAGTTTTTCGATGGCACCCAACAGATATAAATCATTCTCAGAAACGGCTCTAAATGTCTGCGGTGGACCTCCACGAATATTGTGCTGTTGTAGGGGTAGTGGCCTGTGTTGTTGTTGCTGTTGTGATGTTGGAGCTGTGGGTGGCAATTGCATACTACCACTGGGTGCTGTACCGCCGAAAAGTTGTTGTAGAAATCCTGGTTGTTGTTGCTGTTGTATCATTTGGTTTGTCATAGGTCGGAATTGAGGATTTACCACTTGTAAAGGTGCTCGTTTATGAGGTTCCAGCTCGACGCCAGCCTCGCCTATACGTTTATTTATGAAAACATTAGGGGCAGGCCTTTTGTAGGCCGACGAATGATAATTGATAGGCGGTTGGGGATTTGGTGGATTGGGTCCCATGCCAGGATTAATCATCATTTGATATGGCGGTGTGTGTGGTGGACCTCCAAATCCATTCATTTCATTGAAAAATTGTAGATCTTTGGAATTTCTATATCTGGAATTTTGACTAGAGAATAAAAGAGTTTCATTATAAATGTGGGTAAATATGTCTTTATTTTCGCATTTAAAATTAAAATAGGATCAATTGTCATAAATGGCAAAAATATTAAAAAATGAGGAAATCTATTTACTAATTTGAAATTAATTTCGATCGATAGATAAGTTTTCTACAGATATGTGCATACTTTTAAACTAGTAATGTAAGTATAATTCTGTTTTTCAAAATTTCGTCAACATATTAATTTTGAAAAACAGAACTATACTGCAATATTTAATTATATCTACGTTCTCTTAACAATTTGTGCATTTCACGTTTTTATTCGCGTTTTTATAACGTTGAAACCTTTTATGATTTTCACAATTAAGAGCATGTCATTTTGTGGAGTCCTAAGGCTTGTGTTTAATTATTTGCTTAAAATGACTTAAAATTTTTTTCAAAAAATTCTCATACATAACAAAATTAAATTGGGTTTGTGAGTGAGTTTTATAATTAAGATGTTATCTAATCTCATGTAAAAACTAATCAAAATGTGATACATAAAGAAACTTATTACTTATTACATACATACGTATGTAATAAGTTGCTTTATTCATTTGATATTTGTTTATAATTTAATTAAATGAGGATAAAATCGCAAAAAACGAATGAATGTCAATATTTTTCCTTCAACCCAGAAAGATTTTACTCGTAATCGTTATAATGTTGAATTTCAATTACAACTGAATTTGGAAATATTTCAATTTTATTTTCTGCACACAAATGACTTATTGTTTTGACCGAAAAGGCGCATCGTAAGAGAAGAAATTCTATTTGTTTTGGGCCATTATTGTACCCTGGTATTTGTATTCCAAATATTCGTATGGGAATGAATGTAAAACAACATTTCAATAGTGATACCATAAGTTTTAATCCATATTTCATTTTAGATGTATATCTAACACGACTTGACTATATTCATTTTTGCAAGTATCATCGGCGGTTTTACAAGTTCCTTTTGTTTTTTATAGTTTATATATTTATACCGAATTCAACGTTCCTTTTTACTTGTTAACAATTCCGTCTTTTGGCTATACTCACCTAAAAACATAATCCTCTAAAACCTGGGACCATACCATATCAGACGAATCTTCGAGTAACAGCTCGCGTGCATTTATTGTGAACGCTGATTCATTGACGTATTTTGTAGTTGCCGATGCCGTTAGCGTTGACGAAATGTTTTCACCATTACCGTCATTTACATTATTGCATAATACCGAATTGGTTAAACTGGTAAACAATATCGCACAACCGCACCATAGCGCACAAATGTAAGTCGAACTATTGTTGTTGTACAGACAGAGGCGGCGTGTGCGACTTATATACGACGACGATAACATAGTCGGCTGGGTTCGTTTTAAGAATCTCTTAATTGTATTTTACTTTCGTTTTCATTCAATGTGTTGTCTTTCTGGCTCGTTATACTCTCTTTTTTGGGTGATTTCAATTTTTTAAAACAAATAATTATTTGATTACAACAACAGATTATTTTCTTATAATTCACTTGGCATTGTTTCGATTTCTATTATTTTTTTAAAAAAAAATAATACGTTTTTATTTTCCTTCGAGTTGAATTTGGTTTTATGCGTCTCCAGTTCGGTAAGGTGTCTGTTGCTCTCCGCGGTTCGTAATAAACTGCTGCACGCAGGCGCATTTGGACATCAAGTGAGTGCTGGTTTTGTCTAGCTGTTTTGTTGTAACATTCATAATATTTTGTGTGTATGTAGTCAAGCTCGTGTTTGTTTTGATGCGAAAATGTAACTTTCTCCGACGCGTCGGATGCTTTATTCCCATTGGTTTTGTTGACTTGTCGTCTCTTAATCTGTGTAGATGGGCATGTTATTGTTGGCGTGTAAAGGGGCGTATGGCGAAAAATGACCTTCAGGAAATCATCAAGGCACCTTTCTTAGCGTATATTGTTATACATTTTTTAATGTCAAACCGAATATGTCTTTTTTATAAAAATATAATTATGCTATAACTCCAATCATATACATACATATTTATATTTCATCGTTTAGAAATATTGCAGATTCAGATTTAAGGTCAAAAAACACTCTTCACAATTATCGCATTTTAAGATATTTTAATACTTAACGAATGTAAGTGTTTGTTTTATTGGGCTTTCAACACGCCTACACTAACACACTAACACTTGATGTACGCATTAGCGAAGGCCAGTTTGAGGCTTCATGGAATTTTGTGACGCACCGGACATTCCCATTGAAACAAGAAAAAACACATAAATGGATGGGATTTCTTTATTTTAACACATTGGTAGTGTAAAATATTCAAACTATGTATAATTTTTAATATGTTAATGATGTTAAAATGGTTAGTTTTATTTAAAGACTGAAGGAATTCCCCACTTAAAATGTCTATAGTTTTGATCAGTTTTATATTCTAAATACAGTCGAATTCGGATAAGCGAATGCCATTTTACAGAATAAATCATTTAACAGAAACAAATACATACTTATAAACGAATAATTCCGATGAATTTCTTGTTTAAAAGAGAGACATTTTGTTAGCAATAACACAATTATGCATGAAACGAGCGTATTTTGCAACGGCTTCATCAAATCTTTATCGTAAAATTATGTTGCACAAGTTTTACATACTTTGATATTGAGAATTTCGTTTAAGAGCAACGAGTTTGCCTATCCGAAGTTTTTTAATCGAAAATTGCGCATTAATAAATTCGACTTATTGTATAAAGAAATATAGCTACTTTATTTAACTTATGGACGATTATAAATGTGGTGTATTATTATAGTAAATTTAATCGTTCGGTTAAAACTGGTACATAAAACGTCTTTATTATATATTCATTTTTTTATTATATATTTATTTCTCCTTCTATCTTGAAAATAAAAATATTTCTTATTCGATTTGACAATAGTCGCAAACAACGATAGAAATGTTTTTCGCTATGAACTTTAGAGGTAGGGGAGAGGGGGCAGCCTTGAACTTCATTTTTTATATTTATATATTATATTTTTAGCTTTTAGTTCGTAGTCTTCATGAACTCCTTTCCCCAACTGCTAAAAAATCATCACCTCATAAAAAAATACGTTGCGAATTTGTTTTTTTTAATTCTCTCCAAGGACTTTCGTCGCAGTGTTATCAGAGTTATATGAAGGACTTTCTCCTCAAATGTTCCCAGAAAGGAATTGATGTAAATTCCAAACACGACATGCTTGGTGGAATATTTCATTTGATTTGTGTGATATTATTACTCATACGCCATAATGTCCGTGCGCACTATAGGATGATAAATGAGTTGTTTATTTTAAAAATGGTTCAAGTCCAATTTGAATTTTGTTACGCATCCAGCATTTCTAGTAAATTTTACAAAACATATAACGTTTTATTTCCTAACACGATGAAGGGCACAAAGCCTCAAACTAAATTAATATCACTTAACAATATTTTTGAGACAAATCAAACACAAACCCTTTCATATCTCAATCTAAAAAAAAATGGACTTACACCACTTTCAAAATAAACGACTCAAGCAATCAATGTTATACCAATTAATTTTCAGCACATAATATTGAATTAAAAAATGTAAAGTGATGTTCCATTGATTCCTCACTCGCTACTTACTTCCTAGTCCAAAAAATAAACACACACACACACTTTTTTCTCAGCATGAGAAAGAGATTGACATTAATTGTATTTAACTCAGCTATGCCAAGTGTTCTACACATAGTATAGCTGTTATGATACAAAGTCTGTCATTACTGTTTGTTAATTTTTCTAATGAGCTTGTTGAGGCTCTGCAGACCATACCGCTTTGTTGACCATTATGTTCTGCATATGCTTATCATTAACTTAAAAATGACAGGTGTACTGCATGTTGTATCCTCGGCATATCTGAGTTAGGCATAGCAAAAAAAAAAATCTTATAGCCGTGAATTTATGATATTGAAACACATTTTCATATGTCCTATGAATTGCATATCGTGAATTTATCAAATATAATATCTTTTGCATTTTAAAACATTATTTTCTTTTTTTTTGATTTTGTTTGTTAAAAAAATAAAATAAAAATAATTAAAAAGTTGTTTGTTTATTAATTTTTATATATAAATAAAGATTTTTTCCAAAAACATAAAAGTTTATTATCGATATTTGGCTTTTGCTTTCATTTAACAAATAGATATGTTTGTTTGTATGTTTATATGCAGGTAGTAATGTTCTAAGCACAACGTCTGACGGGCTGCCTTCTATCCAGACGATGACTCCTTGAATAGAAAGTAGCGAGGAGAGTTGATTGCGTGTGTGGGTGTGTAATGTGTGTGCGCGCTCATGTCTACACGGCGTTATCTTAATGATGATGTTGTTAGGATTCGGTTCTTTTTTTATAATTTTATTATTATTTTTTTTTTACAAGATGGAAAACATATTACAGAGAGACCAACAAATTTCGTTTAATAACCGGCCAATTCGGCGAATGTGGAGTCCATTTCATCGGCCAAAGACTTGTATCTGTCCTTGTTGATGCCCAATTCATCTAAAATTTTAAAAGGAGAACATTTCGAAATTAGTAACGGTGAAAAGCAGAGATACATAACAGTTATCAAAACAATCAATATTCAACAACAGGTGAGACAAGAAAACTTAAACTTAAACAACACGCACACACACACATACAAGGTGCAAATGTGCCTGTAGTAGTGCAGTTAGATAGTCGAAAAGATGAGAGGCTGTCTCCTCAGTGTAACGGTGCGAATCAACACAACACTTATCGATCACATACACTTGACGAAATGTCTTTCACAAAAGAGATGTACTGGGTGGAAAATGCAATAGACTCAGAGAAGGGTGGGGATGGACGATGAGCGAGTGACTGACTGAGTTACACACTCCTCGCAAAAGGGTTGGAGCATTTTCATAGCATATTATGTTTGTTGGTTTGAATGTTGTGTTTGTGCAATCGTGAGAGGGACATCGGGAACGATGGAAATGCTATGAAGGATAATACATGCGCTACTGTTGCGGATGTTGTTCTTGGGAGCAGGGTTTCATGTGGCCACACAGCGTTTCACATATCAATTGTTGCGATAGATTTTTTTAATCGTGTGCTCGGACGGAGAACGACGGGTGATTAACGAAAAGTCATGACTGGAAAACGCACAAAAATCAACACCAACAGTCGTGTTGCTGTGCACGACGAAAGCGTGCACATTGTGTCTAACGGTGTGGTACTGTGTGTTCGTGTCTCGGTGGGAGTCTGTGCCAGTCTGGGTGCAAAGTAAAGTTGTTTGTCTATGGAGCTTGGAGTCAGTCAAGTTCACATGCCACACAAAAACATAATACAAAATCGAACTCAACAAATTATAAATAGGCTTACAAAACATATTCAAAATTCGAATGTCGAATTTAATCACCTCATTCGGTTGCTGACTTAGCTATGGTTTTTGTTTTTATTGTTTATTTTTACAAGAAACGTAGGCAGGTCGAGATATTCTTATAGTAAACGCTGTTTGTCATTTTTACAGTGTATTTTGTGTATGCTGGTGTTGGTATTGGTGTGTATGTGTGAGTTCTCTGTTCAGTACTGTACATAAAATACACTCGCAGAAAAATGGGTGTTGTTAAAAAGCAAAAAAAAAATTTTGTAGACGAACTGAGTTCGTAAGATGGCGGTGTTTTGGGAGGACCAAAGGGGTATTGTACAGGTATATGTAGGGATCTGAAGTGTTTCAAAGAGCTGGGAGAGAGATGTTTGTAATCTCACTTCGAATCCCAAGAAAAAAGATACGACGACAGTGAGAATAACTTTTTACAAAATTAAAAAGAAAGAGTGTTCCCACAAAATCGCTGCTTGAGCTGTTAAAGGGGGCAATAGGGGGTTGGTTGGTTGGTTCGAATGAAGAATTCTATTGGAACTTTTTGTTAAGTGTATGCATGTGTTGTGTGTGATCATGTAAGTGTATGTTCAGTGTGAATAATTGTATTATTTTAATATCCAGTAAGTTCGGCGAAGGTGGAGTCCAAATCATCGCAGATTGCTTTGTATTTTTCTTTTTCTTGGAAGAGACGGTCTGTAAGAAGCATTATTGTTGTTGTTTTAATATTATTAAGAAGCATAGCATTTAAAATACATAAATATTTACAAAATAGAATATCATCAACTATATATAGGTTAGTGAACATTTGTAAGCGTTCAGTTTTTTTCTTCAGCTTCTTCTTCTTAATTTTTCTTTTGATACACATTTGGTTATGGTGGCAAGATATTGACACAAACATACCTTCTAGCCTGTCGACTTCCTTCTGGAGACGCTTGACGTGCTTCTCAGCGTGTTCGGCACGTTGTTCGGCTTCCTTCAATTTGACGGTCAAAGTCTTCATTTCACGCTTGAACTCCTCAACACGTTGGTTGGCCTTTTCTTCGGATACTTCCAAAGATTTCAAAGAGTTACCGACAACCTAGTTGTAGTAAAGTAGAGAGCCATGGACTTGGGCGGGGAGTTTGTATTTCGATTGGCTTACCTTCAATTCTTCTTCAAGTTCCATGATCTTGGCTTCACCGGAACGGACACGATCTTCAGCGACTTCCAATTCGTCTTCAACGAAGGCCAACTTGCGCGATACTTCATCAGATTTGGTATCGGCATCTTCAGCCAACATACGGGCTTCCTTCAATTGGTTGGTCAATTGGTCCATACGTTGTTCGTCTTGTTGGGAACGGTTCTCCAATACTTGGCACATACTACAAGCGGACGGAAACATGGGCAATTACAATATGATCATTTGAGGTTAGGGATTAGCGAAACTCACCGGTTGTTTTCGTCAGCAGCTTGAGAAGCTTCCAACAATTTTTGTTGGGCGCTGGTTGAGCGTTCTTCAGATTTTTCCAAATCTTCTTCAATTTGTTGGACCTTGCGATTCAAGGTGGCTACCTCAGACTCGGTGGCGGTCAACAATTTTTCCTTCTCTTCCAATTCATGATTGGCCTTTTCCAATTGTTCCTTGGATGAAACCAAATCGGCTTCAACTTGGATCAATTTCTTTTCCAAATCGCGGACTTCTTCATTCAATTTGTCGGCACGAGCATTGGCATCTTTAGCTTGATTTTCACAGGTATCGGCCTTGTCAATGGCGTTATCCTTTTCAAGCTTCATAGCTTGCATCTTCTTCTTGATGGCATCCATGTTTGTGTTTTGTTTTGTATGCTACTACGGCAGGAAGGAGAAAAAGAGAAGATATACACTGTACGAAAAAAGAGAAAGAAAATATTTTTTGATTAATTTAAAATTACAGGTGATCATTGATGTAAATAAAATAAGTTGAATCTAGAATTGAATTAAGGTTTGTTTTTTTCCGGAAAGACATATTGGGGGTTTTTAATCGTTCAAATAAAGTCTATATACATATGCATATAGTTTTGCAATGGATAGAAACTAATAAATATCCTTGTCCGTTAATATAGTTAGCCTCAATTCGCCCTAAAAATATATGTAAGACCTCCATTATCTACGACAAATCGATTTTTTCTTGACTGTTTACATTAGGTATGTTCGAAAACATAATAATTTGTATAACTTATTATGGCATCGTATTAGTATTCAAAGAGTGTCATTTCGATTTGAAAGGCGCAATTCTGAACAATACTGAGGTGTGAATACCTCAGCTGTCATCTGCTAAATGTCGACATTTATCAAAGATACTTATTATCATTTACAAGGCCGGATACTTTGGGAACAGCCTCTTGGAAATGTTATTTGAATATTCAATATAATAATAATAGTATTGTGGAAAATGACATTGTTTCCTAAACTACTTCTACTTAATTTAGTAAAATTACATCTAGAAATATCCTCTGACCCTAATCATCGAACAACATTTATTTTGTGAATTCCAAAGATTTTTCACTCCATAACGAAATCAGTTCGAGTTCATTGTATAGAATTAAATTTGTTTCCTTTTGTAGGTAGGTAGGTGGGTGGGTTTGTTTTATTTCATTGTGTGTACGTGTGTGTGTGTATTTGTAAACAAATTACGTGGCAGTCCGTGTATATATATTTCACCGATCGTAAAAAGCTTCGTGGCTGGCCCACGCAATACCCTCGCCCCACATACAAGTGTCGTTGAGCGAAACACACATACGCACATATGCACATTCGTTCACCCGAACGATCATTTCTAAAAATTCAGTGTCTTCGTCAAAGCTTTCGGTTATAAAAATAAATTCTCCACACACGGCAAAGAAAATGTATTTGGAAAATATGTTTCTTATATATGAAATTTAAGCTTTATATTTCCCCATTTATGCATCCATCACCTACATATATATATTTACGTATATGTATTATAATTGTACGTAGGTGTATTTATAATCATATACACACCTATACATGCTAATATTCATTTTATGTAGACTTTTAAATTTAGCATCCGCTCATCCTATTCTATGGAGATATTTTGCATTTTAGCCGCTAACTGATGACGATAAATTCCCAAACAAAATAGGTGTCGATACCAAGGTGAAATAATATTTTCTTGATATGAACCGTTTTTGTACTTTGCAGGAAATCTATTTTCTATTTTTGTCGGTAGTTAAGGGGCTAATAAATATCAATTGTTCGATAAATATAATATTGTCGGTGATATATCAAATATTATAATTTTCGCTAATTCCTTCCAAAGACCTGCAATTTGTCTACTTCCCTAAAATGTCAAAAACATAAATAATAATACTTTTAAGAAATACGCAATTTCTACAACTACTTAAAATAGATTAGTATAAATATATATATTTGTAACTATGTCGTGACAAATAGAGATTTCCCTTTTCAGAAATGTTAGATATTTTATTTATTTGTGAAAAATATTAATATTGCTCTTCAATATTTGTATTATTTTTTCTCTTTATACTATTTGTGTATCAAAAGCTTGTCCTCTACAGCAAAAAGTTCTGTGTGGGGAATGTTGTTCATTTTATGATGTGAGGTGAGTGAGTGAGTGGGTGGCTTTCAGAACTCAAGGCTGAGTAGAGGAGAGTAAAAGCTCATTGATCATCAATATGCCTAGGAATGGCGAATGTGATGAGTTTTCCCAAGACTTTTGATATAACAAATTGTGTATCTGTTTGTGTGTGTGTGTACGAGTGTTAAATGTGTGTTGTGTGCGTGAGCATTTTCATGATTTTTCCCAATGTATTTGTTCAGACAGATAATTGTTGTTGTTTTCTTTTCATTTGATTTTTGGTATTTGTACTGCCACTAACAAACACACTGGCATTATTACTTTCAGATAATAGATTCAAAAAAGCGATTCGGTTACAAATTCCTTATTTGTGAATGGGAAAAAGATCACCACATGATTTATATTGAAATTGTGATCATGGTTAATAATTTTCTATAACTTTTTTGTACTTTTTAATTTTTTTATTTGAAACCGATTTTTTCATATTTTCTTACATATGTTATTATGTCATGAAACACACTTCGACGCACACACACACTCACACATACATTTACACATCTTTAATGATTTTGTAAAATTATTAAACATTTTTGTTCATTATACAAAATATTCGTGAATATTTTTCCTTTTGTTAACACTAGTATTTAGAGTTCTTGTATATCTTGTATTTTGTTTTTTATTTTCTTTAATATTATTCACAAATTATTATTACGGTTATATTTCCTCTGATTGAGTATGAATATCCTTTTCTTTTTTTTCTTTTTTGAAGTGAAAAACAGCGACTAACCTTAGCGTTCCAAACACACTATACGCTGTCGAAACCCCGAGAACACTGATGCAGACCAACTTTTCGACCACACAAAGCCCCGATCGCAAAAAAATTTACCTACACACGAATTTTCTGTGTTGAAAAATCTTCACACAAATACAAAAATAATTTTGTTTTGATATTTTCAAAAAGTGAAAATTCCCCCTAATTTTTTCTGTTGCTCTCACTCTCTCTCTCGCATCTATGGTCACACATTAGCATGTTTCTATGTTTATTCTTTGGTCTTCTAATAGCATTTTTTTCCAAATCCCACAAGGTATAATACAACGGAAAAAATTTCCCAATGCAACTGCTCATTTTCCTAGTGTTGTGCAAAGCACTATTGCTATGGTATTTGTGAGTTCAGATATGTATATAAACACAGCATACACACACAATACATATATGCAAATATATACTCACATATGTGTCACACATACACAAACAAACACAGACAGCGAAATATACAAGAACGATATTAATTAGATCGTTGTATTGGTTAATTTTCTTTTGGGCGTTCTTATTCTGAAGATCCTCGCACACTCTTCACACAAGTTCGTGTGTTCGATCTCTCTCCCGATGTCATCTCACCGTGATCTCTGTGTCTGCTTTTCATTCTAAATATTCCGTGTGTATCTATGATTTTAAAAATAGATCAATATTGTGTGTATAAGTTTTGAAATTCTGTTCTGTTAGAACGAAAATATAGCCAGTCTATTTAGTATTTGAAATATTTTGTCGTGTTTTTGTTGTTGTTGCCTTCTTTTGGAACAAAAGTTTTCAATTTTACGCCTCATTCAGAGGCACATATTTGAAAATTACACATATTACAAATTTAGGTCATTTTGTAAGAGATTCTTTTATCCCTTCCCATTGTAAAAGTTACCGAAAATATTTGGATGAAATTCAAAAAAGAAGCAGAAATAAAAAATAGAATGGATCCGTTCATTTGTAGCTAATCTTGTAGGGTATTTTGAAAATTGTTTATATTAAAAATACTATTTGGAAATTTGATCTAAATTTGTGTTGGTGGGTGTTTTCCAAATTCTGTTGTAGCATTTTTATTCATCGAATAATGTGGGTGGTTGTTTGAACACAAAAAAAAAATACAAAATAAAATAAAAAATATAACAACGACTATATAAAAATGTTAACATATTTGACCAATAAAGGGTAATACGTAATCACAATCTGCACATATATGTTCGTACATACATATATATGACACTGGAGAATTTTGAGAAATACATATGTTTGCATGTCTTCTATATCCTTGGGCAAAATATGTTGTGTGAGTCAAGAAAAAATTATACTTTATATTCTCAATTTATCAATGCAATTTTGTTTGCTGCTATTGCGAATTTATTTCCATTAAATAACAAATATGGCTAACAAATATTATATATATATATAAGTTCGGGTTTTAATATTATACAAATATACAATATAAACAGCTCGAAAAGAGGTAAAAAAAAAACAAAAAAAAATATAAATATTTCAATATGTCGATAATTTTTTTTTTATTAAATCCGCGTAAAGGGCTTTTAGCCTATATTATAATTACAATAAATACGTATACGAGGCCAAAGGTCGTGTGGAAACAATTTCATCTATAGTTTTAAAGAAGTGAACATGCCAACCTTGTGCAATTTCCACAGAAACTTCTTATATATTTTTTGCCTTCACAGACAAATTTTTCGCTTTGGATGAATTTGCAATCAAATTTCTAAAAAACGCGACTTTCGGTGGCAAAAACAATAAAATACTATTTTAGGAGTACAATCAGGAGTACTTGAGAACCTCCGGTTTTTTATTTATTTCAAAAAATCCACAAAATAGCGGTCACTCACACGACTTCAAATATACATGACTTTAGACATCTTTGCTAATAATGGGAAAACTCTGGGATTTATGTGAAATTTTTAGTCGAATTTTAAAAAGCCCTTTCCCGGAAGAGGCGATATGCCATTTCATTGACATTGGTAAACCCGACCAGTAGGTTATATTACGTTCCCGGACAAAATAAATATTTTCTCAGCGGAAAATCTGCCAAAAACATGAAATATGCCAAAAAATATTTTGAATATATAGCGTATTTATTTTCGTTTTCTGTGCACCATTTCCACTTCAATAATGGATGTATTTGAAGTTTTTGCGGAAACAAATCTTTAAAAACTTTAGCCGATAGAGAGCAGTGTTCGATTTAGCCCAAAAATAGTGAGAGATAATATATCCATGCAGTGTTGCCAATTTAGCACTTTTTGTGCTAGATTTAGCACTTTTCAAACTCGTTTAGCACCAAAAAAAGTGATCTAGTACCTAGCACCTTTTTTAGCATTTTTCGATTTCACATTGATGTTAGAAGGTGTTAGTACATCTGTAAAAAATAAAAAAAAGTATTGAAGTTCGGCCGATCAGAAAGTATTATACCCTGCACCATGTGGAGTATATTAAAATTTTCTCAAAAAATGGTCGGGTACTTTATATGGTTATTGTA